AATATATGTGTATACGCAGGATACAATGGTGTGTGTGTGTGTATGTGTGTGTGGGGGAAAACAGTCATAAAACAATTGTTAACCTCTCCGTAAGAAGATATAGACAATCGGAAAATTTGACCAACTATGATTAATTATTGATACATATCTATTTTTGTCATGCATCAGCTAACATCACACCTTCACGTCTGTTCAAATTTTTGTGATTCACCCATTTATGTAAGGCTTCCGCAGTCAATCTTTCTCTCTACGAACCAAAACCTTTCTGTAGAACGTTAGTCTTATCAAAGTTGATTTTGTGTCCCGTTTCTATCGAATGCGGTGCAATCGTTGATTTGTTTTCTAGCTTCTTTAAGTCTGCAGAGGTCTTTGGAACCAACCACCTTTAGACATTGTTTATGCTCTTTCACTCTTATATTTAACTGTCTAGAAGTTCCTCCTACATATACGGCGTCTCAGTCCCCACAACTGATCTGGTACACACAATTCTGTCGGTTTTCTTGTTGTATTTTATCCTTAACCTTCACTACTGATGAGCGTAAGGTATTAGCTGCACGAAAATACGCTCTCATGTTATGATCGTTAAAGATTCGCTTTATTTTCTATAGTTTTGGTTTGTAAGGATTAGTTATGTTTTACGAGTTGATCGCGGATTGATATCAGTTAGAGAACAATTGAAAACCAGGGAGTACTGGACAGCTGCTGTTTCATCCTAGTTTGGGAATCATCGGCAGTACGCACCCACTGGGATTCGAACCCAGGACTGAATGGTATACGAGCTTGCCTTGTAACCGGAAGGTCCTGGGTTCGAATACCAGTGGGTACGTACTGCCGATGATTCGCTTTATCTCATCGGATGTTTCTTTGCGGTAAGGAATCACTGTCGTACTAACCCGATTCTTTGCAACAGGTTTCGATCCATCCTTCCTTATCTTCACATTTTAAATATCTTTTTATTCAAGCTTTAGGATAATTATTTGAATCAAGAGTGGATTGAACAAATTTTAGTCCTCTGTTGATTTCTTCCTCAGTGACTAGACGTTTGGCTCTGTTAATCAGATTCTTAGCCATAGTTACTTTAGTGGTAAACGGGTGTACTGAATAAAAATTATAAATAGATGAATATAAATCTCTGTTTATTTTTATTTTTTATTTTTGGTTACACCTTGACTCCACACCGTATTTTTGGTACAAGTGTGGAATTTTCCGAAATGCACACGAAACCTCTCTATTACTCACTCATCTTTGTCTTCATCTTCATCTCTATCATCTTGCCTTCCTTCCACTGATGCAACTCCTCGACTTGATAGCTCTCCACTTCCTCTCCACTCTGCGTCCACTAAAAACGATGGAAGCCAAAAAACCACCACCGACAGCCTCTTAAAGCCGCGCCACCAATTTCATATAGGAGCTCTTAATGTTAGGACACTTTGCCAAATAGGACAACAAGCATCACTAGCCAAGACCCTGGCATCACGAGCCATTGATGTATGCTGTGTTTCAGAAACACGCATACAAGACCCAAGTGTGGTTATTCACCTAACCCCACCTGGCCAACAGGTTGAATCTGCAAAATTCACCTTGAGGGTGTCAGGAGATGCCACAGCTAGTTCACGAGGATTAGCTGGCGTAGGGATAGCTTTGAGTACTAGGGCAGAAAAGACATTGCTTGACTGGATCCCGGTAGATAGCCGAATGTGTGCTGTCCGCCTGAACGGATCAGTAAGAAGGAGGAAGGACTGCACTACTCGCCGATGCCTTTTCGTAATCTCCGCCTACGCCCCCACTGACTGCAGTTCAGATGAAACGAAGGATGAGTTCTACCAAAAGCTGTCTAGTTTGGTGGAAAGGCTAAACGCTCAGACATAGTCGTTCTAGCTGGTGACTTTAACGCTCAAGTAGGGAAATTGTGTCAATCTGAGAAGGATGTCGGTGGCACCTATGGAGCTCCGTGCCAGCGAACCGACAACGGTGACCGTCTCCTACAGTTCTGCTCTGATAATCATTTGTTTCTTGTAAGCACTAACTTTAAACACAAGGAGAGACACTGTTTGACTTGGAGACCCCCTTCATCAAACCAACGCTGGACACAAATAGACCACATAGCAATAAGCTATCGTTGGCGTGGGTCGGTAGGAGATTGTCGCTCCTTCTGGAACACGTGCGTAGATACCGACCATGCACTGGTCCGCGCTCGGGTGTGCTTACGACTGAACGGACGTAGGAAACAGCTGGCGGTAAAACCATCACGTCCCCAGCTCGATCAGGAAACTAAATCCGTATTTGAGGAAGAACTAGCTAAACACATATCTGTGTTCGACAGCTGTGCTCACCCTGAAGAAGCTTGGAAAAATATCCAGGCAGCCATAGATACAGCTGTAAAAGCTGTGAATAAGGTAAACCCAAAGGTGAGTAAAAACCACTGGATCTCCACCGCCTCATCCGAACTGATAGATGCTAGAAGACTTATTCCGGCGAGCTCCGAATTCAATGAGGAGCGAAAGCTGCACAAGAGGAAACTTACGAAAAGTCTCCGCAAGGACCGTGAACAGTGGTGGGCGACAAAAGCCAAAGAGATGGAGAAAGCTTCGAGGATAGGCAACACCAGGCAACTCTTTGGACTCATCAGGGAAACGGGTGGGAGAAGACAAATCATCAGTGAGACAATCTCGGAAAAAAATGGCACTATAATTAGCCCCAGGATAGACGACTGGATCGTTGGAAAGAGCATTATGAGGAGCAGTTTAATTTGCCCACAGCCACGCTCAACCTTCCGAGCATCCAACACCTCCCTGAATGGGATATAGACACAGGTCCTCCGTCACTAACTGAGGTTACTAAAGCTGTCACCAATCTGAAACTAGGCAAAGCAGCGGGACCTGATGGAATGACTCCAGAGGTATTTAAGTACGGTGGAGACAGCTTACTGTCCGGATTAACTGAGGTACTAGGCAGCGTCTGGGAATCAGAAGAAGTCCCATCGGGTTGGTGTAAGTCACTGATTATCCCCATATACAAGAAGGGAGACAAGTCTTCCTGTGATAATCACAGAGGGATTAGCTTGACTAATATAGTATCTAAAGTCTTAGGCTCAATAATCATGCGTAGACTGAGTGGTGCTCGGGAAGCACAAACACGAGAGAGCCAGGCAGGCTTTAGACCAGGAAGAGGGTGTATTGATCATATCTTCACCCTCCGACAGATTCTAGAACATAGGCATTCCTACCGGCGTCCAACAGTCATTATATTTCTTGACCTAAAGGCAGCATTCGACTCTGTCGATCGGGAAGTTCTCTGGAGATGCTTGGCTGTAAAGGGAATTCCAAGAAAATATATTGCACTGATTAAGGCACTCTACTCGTACTCATACAGCCAGGTGAGGGCTTACGGCGAGCTGTCATCTGAACTGATGACGACCAGTGGTGTCCGTCAAGGATGCCCATTATCTCCTTTTCTATTCAACTTCATCATAGATGTGTTAATGGACTTAACCCTAGGTGACTTCAGCGACTCAGGGATTGACTTGCTACCGGGGAATAATCTCGTTGACTTGGAATATGCAGACGATATAGTCCTTCTAGGCGAAGACGCTGACGAAATGCAGAGTCTTCTAAACACCTTGAGCCGCAATCTACGAATGTTTGGCATGCGATTCGCTCCCGCCAAATGCAAGATGATGTTACAGGACTGGACTACATCGACGCCTAGTTTAAAAATAGGAAGTGAAGTGGTAGAGCACGTTGACCGCTTCACTTATTTGGGAAGTACCATCAGCCCCAACGGGCTGATCTCTGACGAAATCTCAGCACGAATACAAGGGGCTCGTTTCGCATTTGTTAGTTTACGCCGACTCTGGCGTAGACGAGATGTTCGACTATCGACCAAAGGGCGGGTGTACTGCTCATCAGTCCGCTCCGTCCTCCTTTATGGTTGTGAGACCTGGCCACTGAGAGTGGAAGACATGAAAAGACTAGCTGTCTTTGATCATAGGTGCCTGCGTTCTATTTCCCGTGTAAAGTGGCATAATAAGGTGAGCAACATGGAGGTTAGGCGTAGAGTTCTAGGTAAACAGGGGAAATCAATCGACGAAGTCGTGAAGCTACAAAGACTGAGATGGTTAGGACATGTGTTACGTATGCCAAGTCATCGCCTCCCTCGACGAGCAATGTTAGCGGATATAGGGTCAGGCTGGAAAAAAGCTAGCGGCGGTCAAACAAAAACTTGGCATCAGTCAATGAAATCCACAACAGTTGGTCTAAGCCACGTAGGAAGGTGTAGACTTCCAGGCTGGGGTCCTCGGGACGGTAAAAATCTATGGTTGGAAACAATTGGTGACATGGCTCAAAATCGTTCTCAGTGGCGCAGATGCATCCACTCCCTGTGACTTATGATCTTCAATGAAACTGTTTTGTATTTCTTTATTACTCCTTTGTCTCACACCTCTGCTCACTGTTTCTATTATGCTTTTCTTGTACTTTCTTCTCTTGCTTCGCGTGCTACACGGAATGTGGCGACTTGAACTTCCGCACATTTGTGCAAAGTTCTATGTCGGAAACAGACAGACAGTGGAATTTTCAGTGTGGATATCGGTAGCCCAAAATTCGCAGGCCGACCATAGATATCAGGTGTGCGTCGGCGTGGGCTCGAACCCCGGACCATGTGCATGGTTGGCGAGAGTCCTAACCACTGTGCCACCGACGCTAATTTCGATTAGTTTTTCTGAAGAAGTTCGAACCAGATTGTTGAACGAAAACGTTAGTTTTAATCATTTCATTTTCGCTGAGATTTTACAAATATAATTTTTTACAAATGTCTACTTCTCACTCGGCTCCCAATTATTTTGGTGCTATTCGGTCAAGTCTTGATCACAGTTCATATGAATAGATGAGTATTGTTTTTCGAATTTGGAATTTGTCCTTTCTGGTTTTTTAAATTTTAAGATTATTTTCTTTTCTATACTGTTTTGATTTCATTTATTTATCTTTTTTTTTAATTTTCAGCAAATTGAAACTCCTCGTGTCCTACAAAGAGCTCATAAACTTAGTAATGTTCGTAATGCACTGGATTATTTAGAAAAGAAATGTAAAGTAAGTCTTTACTGGTAACAAACAAATTCATTTATACTCTTCTTATCATTATGACATGTGTGTATCTGAATTCCTTGTATTTCGAGTGGAATATAGGAGAAGGACTTCAAGCTTTGATGTTCCATTATCTGTTGGTGGTGTTATGTTTTCAAAAGGTTAGAGTTGCTGCTAGCCTCACCGCCTACGTTTCTTTTCCTTTTTTCCGAGTTTGCTATCGACTAGACGAGGTTTAAGAGTTCGTCGGCCAGCAATCGTACCTGATCTGTTCTATTGTTGAACCACTGACACACACACACACACACACGTAATTCGTCTTAATGTTAGTCTGTCCTGTTCGTGTGTGTGTGTGTTAATCTACAATTAAATATCCGAGATCTATGTTAGGATATTTACGAGTTAATTCTATTTCTTTGTGTCCCCAGTGGCAAATAGGACTTCAGTCTTGATCCTTGAAGTTTCAGTAGCAATGGTGTTTAGTGTTTATGGGGTGGGGTTGCCAGCTTCACTCCCAACCTCCCTTTTTTATCTGACTTACTACTGGCTAAGCAACGTTAAGGAGGAGTGCGTCGGCCCTTGATCAAATTCTCCTATCACATGTAGCTTGGTCGGTGACTATCCCATCACTGAACCACCGATGCGTACTAAAGTATAAATGTATCTAGTACATTTTGTCCTGTTACAGAGTCGTTGTCAACTAGATGCATATACCTGCTCCTCTGTGAGTTTGATGATAGTTTAATTACTACCAATGCTTGAAACCCAAAACAGCACCCATCATTTCAAACATATAGCTAACACGGGTCTCATGTAGGAGGCATAACTGGTGTCCTGAACTTCACTTCCTCCAGCTATTCGTAAAACAATTCCCTTCAATTTAGTAATCATAGAATATCAATTACTAGTTTACTGGTGATGATTACTGGGTAGGTTTCCTGAAACTGCAGTGGAAAGTCGGGACCAGTGGGGTTTACCACGTCAAGATAAGCGGGATGCTCATTGTGATAGTATTGGCCAGAGTAGCGCTATAGCATGAGTTGAAAAAGTTGAATTGCGGTCCGAGTGACTGATTGGTCTAGTCTGGGACTGATCTTATAACCTGAATGTCCCGAATTCTATCCCTGGGTGTGGAAGGTCGTGAGTGCATATTTCTGACGAGTCCTAAAATAGGACGAAGTAAATGTTCAGTACTCCTTGGTGGTGGTTCTCAGTGACCTCTCTATCTGATATTATTTCTTCACGAAAATCTAACTAGTGAAATTAATCATAATATTATCTAGACATTCATTTCACGATTCACCTATACGCTTAACTGAAGACTGACCTTATAGTTATTACTTTTAACCATATTTGAGTAGTTCCCATTCTGATAATGTTAATGTTTAACAAGATTGATTAAGTGGACTTTTCCAAAGTAGATTTCATATCTAACTATTAGTAAGACAGACTATTACTAGGAGGGTGTTTCGTCCTGCTGCGGGACTCTTCAACATATTTTGCTGCTTTTTTATCCTACATGGGATGAAACATAGGCTTTATGGGTTACAGGGTAAGAACCTCTTGATAGCTCAGTCACACCAAGTTGGCATTCAGTCCGATGTGAACTACTGGATGACTCCTAAATTAGGAGAAAAGACGTAACCAATGGTTTTTGTAAATAATGTGTTGGTTCGTGACGTGATCTCTATTTTGGAACAAATCAAATTCGTACTAGCCAACACTTGATAACAAAACTTGTAACTATTTTTCTCATTCTATGCGTTCTTAGTGGAATATACTACTTCAAGATTTAGAATTTCAGTAGCGGTGGGGTTACTAGCCTCACTTCCAACCCTCTGCCTTTTTCCCCAGCTTACTATCGGACTAGGTTTGATTTTGAAGTGCGTCGACCTGGAATCGAATCTTGAGCTCCCATGTGCCTGGGAGCATTCTTTCAGTGAACTAACTGACGCAATTCAACATTTATAAACATGGCTTTACATTATTAGCCTTCGAATTTTGAACCTAACGATTGTTTTTTTAAGTGGACTACAATATACAAGAACTAGGCTGACAGAAGCATTGCGCAACTGTGGAGTGACTTGGGGAGCTAGTTAGAATAACTACGCTTTTATGAACTGTACACAGTAGGTGATTACTGGTTGTTGTAATCCTTTGGTTATTTCAATCATTCCTAATATGTTAGATAAAATAACTGACAATTATCACTGGGTTCGATCCTCGGCTGGGGTCATGGGTGTCTACTGCCGAAGAGAACTCCCAAACGGGGACGAAAACGCTGTCCAGTACTCCCTGCAGGTTGTCAATCCATAATCAGAGTTGAAACAAATCAAATCTCTACAAGCTAACCACTCGAAAATTATCATTCTCTTGAATATATTGAATTTTTCTGCTGTAAGACGTTTTGTCCCTTTCTTTTCGTAAACGATTAAAACATTGAAGTTTTATTTCTTTTCCATTTTCTTTTATAATTGATTTCTATAGATAAAACTTGTAAATATTAATCCTTCAGATGTAGTCGACGGGAAACCGGCTATCGTTTTAGGCCTTATCTGGTCAATCATATTATTTTTTCAAGTAAGCGATTAAAATCTGTTTTGCAATTGTATCATTGTCATAAATTACTGTTACTACTATTATTATTCCCTTGGGTTCCAAGTGGAACATAACGCTTCAACAGAACATCTCCATTTCGTCCTGTTCTCTGAAGTCGTCTTTAGTTGGGCCTACGATTGACTGTTAGCTCTAGACTTCACTGCCTCACATGATCTCCTGCATGTCACCCTCGGACTCACACCCTCTCCACTCGTCGTTTCCCTTTCAGATTTCACTCGAGAGATGGCGTGTCTAGTGTGCAGTGTCATTCAGTGGTCTCTTCTCAGAGTGTCTTATCCATCAGCATTTACTTTGGAATATTTTTTGTTTTGTTTAAGCAATAGGTTTTTAGTTATTTCGTTGCACTGCAGAGTTCCCGGTTGCTAATCCTTTTATGATTGGCTATCGGATCTTTAATATTCACTCAGCGAAAGGGGCAGGTATTGATAAAAGTATGCAGTGGCCTGTTGGAGAGGTGGCACGTGGCAATTCTCTGAATCATGAAGAGCCTTTGACTGATTTGACATTACTATTATTTTTTACTTTAGTTACTAGAGGGAACAGAGGGCTTCACCCAAACGTCTCCACTGTGTTCGGTTCTCTGCCAACGTTTTCAACTGGTCCCACGTCTATCCTCATGCTTTCATGTCCTCTTCACATGACCTCCTCCAAGTCAGCCTTGGACGACCAACTCGCCACTTCCTATTCAACCGGGTTCCACTCGAGCGATGGCTTGGAGTGTGATGTCACTCACTTGATGATTTGTCTTCTCAGAGTATGACCAGCCGATCCGCCTCCATTTCTTCCTGCATATTTTTTGGACAATTGGTTCCTGCTGGGTTGGTTCGCTCATCCCTGGTGTTGATCTTTTCTGGCCAGCCATTTGATCTTTTGCGGAGTATTGAGCGAAGAATTTGTTGATGAAGGTTTGTAGTTTGTTTGAAGGGGACTTCTTGACTCGGCGCCAAGTCTCTGGTTCGTGTACTAAGTAGCACTGACTTCACATTGAAGTTCAAAATCCGGATTTTATTTTCATCTTCATACTGAGTGCCGCTGATATCCCCCACACAAACATAGGAGTAATGAAAGCTTTCCTTGCTTTCCCGATCCTCGCTGCTTTGATGTCCTTATCATTTCCGTCAGCCTGTAGTTGAAACGATGCTTCCAAGATAAGTAGGTAGGTAGGTGAAGGAGATTACTTTTTTCAGATTCCTCTCATTTTTGCTGGCTGATTGTTGTCTGTTGTTGTTGTTGCTGTTGGTGTTGTCGAAGAATCTTCGTCACCTACCTCTGTTTTCTCTATGTTCACCTGAAGTGAAGTCCTATATTTGATACTTCTTCCTCTGTCAACTTGTTGCTTTCCATTCGCACATCTTCCAGTTTACGGGAAATCACACACATATCATTGAAGTCCAGATCCTCTAAGTTTTTTGTGTGGCTCCACTTTATGCTTGTCTCCTCGTTGCCCACCACTGTCTGTCGCATTATCCAGTCTACCGCAACCAGGATAATCATTGGAGATAGTAGGCAGCCAGCCAGCTTGTCTTACTACCATCTTCACTTCGAAGGATCCCGAGAGTTTCCCGTTGTGGTTTACTTGGCATACATCATTGTTGTACAACTGCTGGATGAGATGTATAACAGTTGGCGGAACTCCGTAGTAGCAAAGTAGTTGCCAAATCACCTCTCGGTCGATACTGTTGAAGGCTTTTTCAAAGTCGATGAAGTTGAGTGAGATAGATAGCTGACTGCCATTCCAAGTTCTTTTCAATGATGATGCTTAGTGTTGCGATTTAATCGATGCATGCCTTGTTCCTCCTGAATCCAGCTTGTTCCGGTCGAAGTTTTTCATCCAGGTCGGTGTGTTTGTTTCTCTGCAAGATGATGTGGCTCAGTATTTTGCTTGCAACAGACAGGAACATAAATGCCGCCCCAGTTCTTGCATTGACTTAAGTCTTCTTCCTTTTCCAGGTTTGAATTAGTGCCTAAAATCCTAATCGTCTTGTTTATGCTGATTTTAGCGGATTTTCACACTGATTTCAGAGTAATTAATATGCATCTGGCCTCTGCGATCTTGGCTTTGATGTCATCCGTGACGTGTGCAGCTGAAACCAGCGTACTGATGCATTCCTGTTTTATATTCTGTATCAAACGACTATTCAGTTGGCCAGTCTATCTATTATTGTTTAGCTTTGAAGAACAGGCAGAATTGCTGTAGGTTCAGTGGAAGTATTTGCGTTTTGTGAAAAAGTATCCCTCCCCATTCATTTTCAATACTCTATGTGTAAAGATATCTTGGTTGAATCTGATTGTTTTGATTTCTTCTTCATTTCATTAATTGAACCGGCTTTTCATTTGGGTTACTGATTCTGCGTTACTTAATGGAATGATGATTTCTGAATTTTTCTCCAATTATTATTGATTCATTTATAAAGTTATATATTCATATTGAGCTGGAATACGTGTTCTTTGTTTGACTTACTGGCTTTTACTAGAGATGCCGTAACGATGTCTTAGGGTTAACATGATGTTTTTTGGGTTTCATGGTGGCTAATGGTGGTATCTAGAATCACCTTGACTTGTACCTGCACATCCAGGGATGAGGAGTGTTGAAATATGGACGAAGCGCACGTTTGAAGTTCTATCCTTCCTTAGCTAGTATTTATCAAAAGAAAATTAAAAGTCCGTGTAAAACAACCTTCCTGGGTAGAAAGAAATATATCAAGGAATTCACCTTCAATGTGAATATTTTTTTGAGATAAAACGCCAGTCTCCCTCACTGTATAGTATGCTTGATGGTACTAATGTAGGGTGTACGATATTACAGTAAATGTTAATTCATTCTTTCATCTCAGTCTTGGATCATTTTTAAGATGCCGAAACATTATTGGTTTTTATAATAGGAATTCAGATTAATTTCGAAGCAATGTGACTTAGAAAACATTGAAAATTAGGGAGCCGCAAAATAGCTGTTTCCTCCTAGAGTGGGACTGTTTACCAGTTCGCGCCTACAACTCCACTGGGGATCTAGCCCAGAACATCCACAGAAGTTAGAGTTCACTGGTCAATGAATTCCAACCTAAGTAGTCAGCGAGCTTTGGCTGGTAATCTGAAGGTCTTAGTGTACACTGGTGAAGAAGATTCCCAAAATAGGATGAAAACGTCTGTCCAGTGCTCTTATAGCTTCCAGTGGTCGCTAACTGACTTTGATTTGTTATTCAGTTTACAAGTTTGATCTTGAGCTGACGTCTGTTAGAGAAGCATTGGGGTACCAGTAGGGAGTACTGGACACAGCTGTTTCGTCCCACCGGGGATCGAACCCGGAACCTTCCAGTTGTAAGGCAAGCTCATAGACAATTCACCCAATGGACCCGATTCTTATCAAGTGGGAGATCATTTATTCACCGATAACATTGACAGATGGTTGCACTATGTATATCGCGAATAGACAGAAGGTGGAATTTATGTACTGGTCATTGGATAGGGTTCCAATGACTGAATAATCCACAAGCTGTCCTTACAACTGACAGGTCCAGGGCTTGGACCTAGGTGTGTGAATACTGTTGAAGAGCCCCGAAGTAGGACGAAGCAGCTGTCAATTACTCTCTGATTTTCCAATGGTTCTCTATCTGATGTCATTTTGTGATCAACCATGTAAAATGAGTATAATACCCTTGGAAAATGTCCTATACACCGAAGTTTACCAATAGAAAATAACGTTTGACTTGTTAAATTATTACTTCCTGGGCTATGACCGAGTTAACTCAACCAATTAGTAAAACAAAAAACGAATAGAATACTTATTCTGTTATACGTTTTAAAAAAACAAACTTGTTTTATTTGAAGATCAGTACAGAGAATATAGAGATTTTGTTATGTTGACTATTTAATAAACATGTGGTCTTATATAGAGGTAGCAAGCAAGCTAGCTATCTAGTGCGCGGGCGCGCACACACTCGTCCCCACGAGAAAGAGATGTATAGGCTTAAATGAAGCATGCAAATTAACAGAGATTAGGATACGCTTGTCAAATATTCGTGTTGTTATAGTGTAGATGAAGGTTGATGAGTATGGGAGGGGCTAGGTAGCTAGGTAGGTAGGTAGTCAGGTGGTTTATATTATACAAACAACTCATTACACTTAAGTCGACCGATTTATTAAATGATGTGTACAAATAGACGTCGGTAGTCTCTGCATACGTGTTTGTGTATTCTCTTTTTCCGCCGTCATATATAGGACAAACAATACACGAAAACCTGTACTAGACTGTGAAACTTTGTTTGTAATTTCCACTTATATTGATAAAATAATTAGTAAAGCAACACTAACCGACTACTAACTGGCCGGGTTATACAGGTGTGGTAAAATGAAAACGGTATTAGTTTTCTGCAAAGATTTTTTTGATCTGTTTCTACTTCTATTATTTAATACAAGATTACTTATGGTGTAAAGTACATACTACTTTCAAATGAAGTGAGTAGATAATACACTATTTAATATTGGTATAACAACAACGGCAAACTGGTAGAAAAAGCAGCCGACGAAGACAGGACTCCAAGTGAACATAGACATTACGGAGGTGATGAAAATAACCAACCAACAACCACACCAACAGCAACATCCAGCGTCATTCACAATCAACAGGAGGGATTTGAAAGAGGTTACTTCATTCACTTATCTAGCTAGGGAGCATTGTCTCAACTACAGGAGGAGCGGACGAAGATGTCAAATCGAGAATCGGGAAAACGAGAAACACACACATTCATCAACCTGAAACCAATCTGGAAATCTTCGTCACTAAGCCAACATCAACAACAAAATTCAGTCGGATTTTCAATACAAACGTCAAGTCAGTCAGTTTTCCTGTATACGGATCAGAAACTTGGCGGTGGGTCACAAAGAATATTTCCAATAGGCTATTGCAGACCTTTATCAGCAACAACTGTCTTCGCTGGCTCTATACTGAAGATCAGATGGTCGGGCCGGAAAGAATCACCAACAAGGAACTATTGGAAAAAAGAAAACAAGAAGCAATCGCCCAATAAATTTGCAGGAGAAAGTGGAGATGGATTGGACACTCGCTGAAGAGGCGCGCGTCAGGCCATCGCTCGAGTGGAACCAGGCCGAAAGGGAAGCGGCGAGTGGGACGTCAATGCAAGGGTGACACGGAGGAGATGGTGTGAAGAGGAGTTGAAACAGTATGGACTAACATGGATGCAGGTGAAAAGTACACCAGAAGACAGAAAGAAGCAAGTGGAGATGTGGAGTTGAAGCCGTATGTTCCACTAGGAACCCAATAGGACAATAATACTAATAACGGTAAAAAATTATATATGTAGGATCTCAGCGAAATTGAAATGATTAATTTCAACGTTTCGTCCGACAATGTAGTCGGAACTTGTTCAGGGAAATCAATCGAAACTACAACATCACAACTTAACAATTATTTTGGAACAATTCGGTCAAATCCTGATCACAGTTTATATGAGGTATACCAATGGATTGGGGTTGAGAATAATCAGTAAGTAAATTGCTTCAGATATATTTTTAACGATCAGTCTTTGAAGAAAACCGAGAATTCTGTGTTGTAAGACACGCTTTTCATCTTCGTTATTTTCGGAGTTCTTTTCACTCAGTCACTCACTTATTTGGGAAATGGTATCAACTTCAACAGACTAATTGTTGACTAAATCTCAGCACAAACTTATGTCATCTCAGGCGTAGGTAGACGTTGTATTCGATTGGCTGTTGATCAAAAGACATGTGTAATACCCAGCAGTTCGCTTTATCCTCCTTTATGGCTATGAGTAGTAAGACATGGCCATTGAAAGTGGAAGGCATGAAAAGGTCGGCTAGCCATCTTTGATCACAGTTGTACAATATGGTGAGTAATAATGAGTTTAGGTGGGGTGGGGTGGGGTAGATGGTTCGGTAAGGAGGACAAGTCAATCGATTAAGATGGTTAGGACACATGTTGCGAATATCTAGTCAGTCATTGGCTCCCTCCACCGGGAAAAATTAGCTGATATAGATAGAATCAAGTTGGGAAGGAGTTAGATGTGGCCAAATCAAAACCTATCATGCATCCATGAAATCTTTGATAGTTAGTTTGAGGGGGCGGTGTAGACTGTCTGTCTGGTGGTTGGACTCTTTGGAATGGTAAGAAGCGATGGCCTTCAGACTACTGGTTGTTGGTGATATAGCTCAAAATCGTTCTGAGTGTCTCAAGTGCATTCACTCTCTGTAATCTCCTACATCTACTAAACTCTAGTGTTTTTCTGTGTTATTATTCTTTCTCTGTCACATTTGTGCGGTTTGAAATCTCTTTAGTTCTACTTTCTTGTGATACATGAAGTGTGGCAACTTGAACTGGTACACTTTCTGTGCAAAATTCTGTTTTAGAACTTAACCGATCAGTCAGTCAGTTTTAGGAAGGTATTCTACAAATGATGCATATCCCCATGTGATGTAATCGAAAATACGTAAGTCAATATGAAGTTTTGATAGATGACTGGACGAACCCAGTTGGTGATCCTTTACTCTGTCAACAGCGACTTGGATTTCTTTGACGAATGAATATAACCATGTTCTCCAGTATTTTGTCAATTTTTGAATTTCATTCATTGAAATCCCAGTTCCCGTTGATAAGGATTTATGGATAGGTGTAAGTTTCAATCGCTGTTACAAGTGGAACATTGAATTGAACAGGGGTAAGTACAGTCAGTAGTCTTTAATAATAATGAGAACTTTACACAGAAGACATTTCGATTTTGAAAAAGGAATTTAATGGAAATATCGATTTCTTGTTTCTTTGTTTCCTTCTCTACAGATTCATGGTCAACAGAAAGTTTTAAGACAGGCTTTAAAATCTCGTCGTAAAAGTTTGTCAAAGTCTATTGATGCTGAATCAACTAATGGCGGTGCTGGTGGTCATTCTGAAGATACCAGCCTATCTGAACACACGACGACGGATAGTGTTAAAAGTGAGACAGGGTCTAAAACCCGACAAACATTATTAAGTTGGTTGGAACAATCCTTTCGATCGCATAAATCGTAAGTTTTTCTTTTTCTGTTGAAATTTAGATGGAACCTCATTTCATTTTATTCACTTCCACCTTAGCAATCAAGCAGTTTAATACAGAGTCTGGCAAGTATGACTAAAAAGAGATTGGAGTTATAAACATGTGTTGGGCAGGTTTCCGCATGTGGGGGTTTAGAATCCCTTCCTCTTCACCAAAATATGCTATGATGGAGTGTTACTGGATTGTAACGATCGTTTAACTTGACTAGAATGCTCTTTGAGACACGACACTATAAACAACTGATCCCTTGTAAATATACCTCACACTGAGTGAGATCGACACGAAATTCAGATTGGGAGAAATGACGACAACCGACAGCAACAAAAAGCAGCCGAAACAAAGCTCACTGGACAAAATACACAATCTATCATATGTTTACAAGACCTCAAAATATACACCATTAAAAACAGAGATCTGATTGGTCGTATTGTAAGGACAGAAGACAAGGGTTAGACAACAGATCGTTTATCGAGAAAATCAACAGATATTTATAGATTTTTGTGTACATTATTATTCGTTATTATTAGCAGAGAAACAGAGTCTTGTGATTGGTTGTTTTCTCGCTGAGAGTGAATCTGTCATCTCTTTGTGGCCGTTTGTTTGAAGGTTAGACCATGTATTTGTGAATCGTATCCGCCCACGCGAAGTCTTCTGTGATTGGTTGTTGAGTTCCTCAAGGTCAGGTTTTGTTCTTGTTTTGTCTCATGACCAATATTTGGGACGTAAATATTGACGTTAATTGCTGTCTACTAATTTTGGCTAGCAGACAGCTCTCATCACAGTATGACAACACACCCCTCAGAAAATTAAGCCATAAATAGACGAATCAGAACTGTCCAATCAAGTTGTCATGTCAGTGGATGCATAAATTATGACTTCACTTCTAACAACAGAGAAGCTTGTTCATCGCAACATTCGTTATTCAGTATAATCCCCTATCCAAAGTTGAAGCTTTTGAAATGCTTCTGGTTTGGTTCTTTTTATGCCTACATGATTTCCACTCTGTTGCGTAATTTTAATCGATTATTTTGGATGCCATTTTCCTTATCTCAGTAGTCTGTCCTACAGAAAGTTAGAACGTAGGAAAAGGATTCGTTTAAACACTAGTGAGGTGCCATGTGCACAAAGTTTGAAGTAGACTTTGTGATAGAGAGTTTTTATTATTTCATCTATGGGAGACAGACGATGGTTGAGGTATTATTTTTTGAACATTTTTAGGTCGTATTCACATTCAGGAGGTTGACTTTTCCGTTATCAAATTCAAAAGACGGTTTTAGCTAAGACGAAGAAAATTTTCTTCCCAACGAAGTCATCAGCCAGGCTCTACATTCATGTATTTATTATTTATTTAAACTCAGAAAGAAAACGGTACAATATGGCAACAAGAAAGATGCCCCACACTAAATTTCATTGGTTGTGTGAGGACTGAGATACTGCCCGGGCGCCCAGACTGAAGCAGGTGGTTTTATTAAGGGGCCACCCCTGAGCCTTTGACTTGGAGTCTAATCCACAAGGCAGCGGAGCAGCGTCAGGAGCTGCATTCCCATGGTTGCAGGTTACCCATATGGGTTCATACGCCGTTGGGATCCTATTGGATCCTGGAGCTCATGTACCCCATGGTAACTGCTTTTAGTGTAACCACTATCCAAACAACCTTCCTGACATAGTAGGACCTGCAGGGACGTGAGTTCCAGTCAGTTCAGCTTGTTGGGTCATTACGGTATTCAAGCCCGACCACCACGACAAGTAGCAGTTGTCGGCCGGGCTACATTCATGTATTTTCATACAAAAATAGTAGCGGGGTGAGAAAGCTCCAGAATTGTTTCCAGTCGAGGGGCGAATTATTACAAACGACACGATTACAAATAGGGATTAAACACGTAATGATAACAACAGTCGCCTTAAAAGGATACCACTGAATAGATGGAGCTGCAACTGACAAGCACCCATTCTGTTCAATATTAGATATGATAAATTCTCCATATCATTCAATCGCTAAGTGAAGTGGCTGGTAGAGATTTTTGGACCGGTTGAGGAAAAGCTGTCGAGATACAGTCTCTGAGCCCCATATTTGATTTTGTTAAACTCAGAGTGAGAGAGAGAGAGAGTCGAATCGGTTCAAATGATCTGAAATTGCCTATTGCTAATTTGATTCCATTTGTGACCATACCGTTCAAGTGGCTTGTCAGGATTCACATTATTTGGACTGATTCGATTCTCTGAGTTGAGTGGAACCTGATACACCGCTGACAGGCTTTCCCCCAGACCAGCGAAATGGCCGTCAAATGGTTTTCGGTTTGACTGACTGACTGACTGACTAGCAGCCACTACTGGTTGATGTGAGTTGGTATATAACTAACTACTCATCTCAATCATTCAGTAGTATGGAGTCTTATGCAAATGTTCTGAGTTTCTTTTTGTTCTAATACCCTATTTTTTGAAACTTTTGTGTATGTTATGATATATATAGAACACTGGAAATTCGAGTGACAGACTTTGCTTCAAGTTGGCGTGATGGTAAAGCTTTCTGTGCATTGGTGCATAACATTAATCCAAGTCTTATTGACATGGAAGAGGTTAATAAATGTCGTAAAAATCGTGAAAATTTAGAATATGCTTTCAGTGTAGCAGAACAGAGGTTGGGTATACCAAGATTATTGGATGCAGAAGGTAAGAGTGAATGATAATATTATGCACATGTGTGTGTGTGTGTGTGGTACTGATGAAATAATTTTCATGATTGCATATTTAGTTGAGTTTACAGCTTTGTTGTAAGGCCATTCAGATAAGTTCTACAGTAACTCCCATGAGATTGTAAATGATTCAGATCAACCACAGGTGTATTGGCTTGTTAGTCAAGACTATCATAGTATCAGGATAAATGGGAGGAACCTGAAAGAAACAACCTCCTTTATCTACCTACCTACCACGGAAGCATCGTTTCAACTACAGGCTGACGGAACTGATGAGGATATCAAAGCAAAGGTCGAGAAAGGATGGCAAGCTTTTATTCCTCTCAAGTCTGTGTGGAGATCAACAGCACTCAGCATGAAGATGAAAATGAGATCCGGATTTTCCACTCCAATGTGAAGTCAGTGATACTTACTCTACGGATCAGAGACTCTACACCGCGTCACGAAGAGCACTTCAAACAAACTACAGACCTTCATTAACAGCTGTCTTCGCTCAATACTCAAGATAAGATGGCCAGCCAGAAAACATCAGCAACGGTGATCTCTGGCAATGAGCGAACCAACCAGGAACCAATTGTGCAACAATAGGGTGTGCAGGAAGAAATAAAGATGGATAGGCCGTTTTCTGAGGAAACCATCAAGTGACATCACTCGAGTGAAACCCGAAAGGGAAGCGGCGAGTTGGTCGTTAGTGCAGGGGTGGGGTGACGTGGAGGAGGTGATGTGAAGAGGAAATGAAAGCATGTGGGGCAGAGTTGGAGCGGGGTGAAAAAGTTGGCAGAAAACTGAACGCAATTCAGATGCGCGGTTGAAGCCCTATGTTCCTCTAGGTATTAAAGGATAAAATAAGAAGAAGAAGAAGAATAGTATGAGTGGTAATACTGACTGATACCTCTATTGAGGCAACGGAAGGATCTGAAAGTTATTCCATTTTCGAGACAAATAATAAAGGTGGTCTGCAGAAGACAGAACACGATGAATTCATTATCAGTTGAATGAGGCAACACTGTTCCAACTGCTGGAAGCGGCGGTGGCGGCGTCATAGATGAAAATGTGACACCCAACACATGCAACAGAAATGACTCTCAACGTAAATACCAGAGATATGGGAGATATTATTACCACCGATCAGTCAAACCAGAAGAGGATAATAAATAATCTTAAAATTTTATCTCATTTCACGTACATCATAACATTCTTACAAGTTACTTATTTATTTTGACTATAAAAACCCTCGTCTTATTTCCCATCTGATTGTATTTGATCAATAACACTCGTGTCACTATTATTTCTGAATGTACATTATCCTACACTGATTTCTATTCAAATGTCTAATCAATTTCACTCACGTATATAAATTAAGCGAGAAAGTTATCTGAATGAGTGACTTGATATGATTTTAGATGGCGATAGTTTGTTCTCGAAACATGGTCGCATCAGTAAATATTACTGTACAACACTGTGTGATCTATCAAAGTATAAAATCTTTTCTATAATTGAGTTATACTCTAACACCGTGCCCATGTTTTATACTTGTATCAATAAAAATGTAAAAGTCAACCTTGATCGCGTCAGAAAAACAAGACAAACAAATCTTCATTAAAGCAACTTGGAAAATCCCCATTGAGTAGCATAAAAGAAAAGGCGTTCAGCGAAGAGTAACTCTTTTCGGCGATATCATTCTCATTGTCTACAATCGCATACATATAATGTCTAGTAAATTATCCTAGCAACAAAAAAATGTTTGCAAAAATGTATCATTCGAACTTTAAATTTATTTAGATAACAAATTACGAGAGAACTATCCTAGAATTTGGATAAAAAAGAAGTTTGTTCTACCTTTGTCTCTGCCTTGTTTGCCTAGGCGGATTCTATTCAAAACCTTTCCACCCTTTCTTATCATCCCTCTCCTTCGTACTTTTATGATATTTATTTAAAACTCTGATTATCGTTCCATTTCACCTTTTAAGATTTGACCTAATTTATTTATTTATTGAATTGTCTACATATACATATATAACTATTTTAAAACAATTAGTTCCCTTTATGTGAGTTCTGACAAAACAATAAGAAGACGTAATTTGTCTGAATCATGTTGCAATGTGTATTTGCGCCCGCAACACATTTTGAACAATCTCGTCATCATCACACACGGACTTGTCATAGGAATACATATATGAAATCAAGCTAAAAAGACATGTTGTAGGTCAAAATAACAATGAAGAAGATCACTAAACCAAATAACAGAGGTAATAGTACATCTACCTTGGCTGGTATCAAAACAAGGTTTACCAGTATTTTAATTGCCACAGTTTCTTCCCTGTTCGGTACAAAAGAGCCTTAGTAAAGTGCCTCTTCAGTAGAATCCAACGAATATGCACTGAAGACACACACTTGATGAAGAAGAAAGAAAGTTGATACAAACTCTGGTTGATAATAATTATCCAGACAAGTTCATCAGGAGAAATAAAGTAATCAGTGGAACACCAAGACCCACTCTCCAACTCGCCCCTAAGAAAGACGTGTACATCAAGCTACCCTATATAGGGTATCATAGCAGTTTGATAACTAGACAAAGATTGAACACTGCTGTTAAAAAGACCTTTCTATGCAGGTAATATCATAATAATTGAGAATGTGAAGCCAATATATCCATCCATCTAAGCCCTTTGAACAAACGAAAAATGATGTCACATCCCACTGTATTTACCGATTTGAATGTACGTATGCACACATGCCTAGGGAGGACCCCTCGAACAGTGCAAGTAAGGGCTGGCTTCAGAGCATATTCCTAAATGGGTCCAGAAACAAATAGAATCTTGAGAACAGATTAATGGTGAGAACGGGAGAGCTATTGCGAAACATATTGTAGAGACACGACATAAAAATGACGTTAACACATCTTTTCAACCTATCTATAAAACGTGTTTGGGTCGTATCCTAAAGTTTGTGGGCGCCCTAGCTGTCAGTTAGAAAGTTTAAATTACCTTTGTGCGTTCAAATCAACAATTCGTCATCACATAAAGCCTTCCTTGGTAAACTTTGTTTTGGTTCCAACCAGGGTAGATGTACTATTACCTCTGTTATTTGGTCTAATGATCTTCATTGTTATTTTGACCTTCAATATGTCCTTGTAACTTGACCTAATTGGTCTGTTTTTCTCACCTCTTAACTCTTTATTAATTTCATATATATTTCTATGACAAGTCCGTGTGTGATGGATCAGATTTTTCGAAATGTGTTGCACAAATATACATTACAAGATTCAGACAAATTACGTCTTCTTATTGCTTTATCTACATGTTACTACCTTCGTTATTCTCCTTTTCACCACCTGTATAAACTTATTATCAATATTTTGTTATCATTATAATCGTCGATATTAACTATGTTCAAAAAATTTACCACATTATTATTATTTGATCCACAAAATCACTGTCATTGGTTAAAAATTTTCTTATATATAAGTCTATGTAAATTAGAGTAAAGTCAGAAGAAGATCTAATCGAAAACAACAGCAATATTGTTCGCTTATATGTCTTGTTCTAAAACTGAAATCGCCATTTTCAGTCACCAATGCAGCTGCAGCAGAAGTAGAAGTATTTTTTTCCTCCTCAGAATTGGATTTAGATGACGTCGTGGTCCGCAAATAATCTCATTGGCCAACACTTTTCGCCTTTTGGTTTAACCTTGAGCCAATCACCAACCTACCAACTAACCAATCAGAAGAGCGGATTGTCCACTGATCTAACCGACCTTAAATGTAGCTAAAAAATGTACAAATGTCGTGTGTTTTTCCTTTTACGTTACCAAGTCTGTTGTCTTCTCCCCCTTTACAGTGTAGGGTAACCTAATTTGGAATGGACAAGGGCTAGTTAGGTAAAAGGGCGCCAAATTTAATTTGAAGCCCAATAATCGCTTGTCTTGCTTTAAGATTATTGGTGCGCTTCAGTGCCTTTTAGGGATATCCTAAAGTAGTTGAACTTTTACCCCAGAAACATTGTATGATGCCTAATTAGATCTTCTTCAAGCGGTCACCAAGTGGACAAAAATAGTGCCTTCAAAGTTATCTATCGCCTTCCATCGAGTCTTTCAAACGGAATCAGAAGCCGTCTTTTACACATAGCCGAAGGAGCTATGGGAATTAGTTCGAGAGAACAATCCTAGTCTTTGTATACAACAAAAGGAGTTTGTTCTACCTTTGCCTCTCCCTTGTTGCTTAGGTGAATTCTATTTAAAACCCTCCCACCCTTTCTTATCTCCCATCTTCTTAGTACTTTTATGATATTTATTTAAACTCTGATTATCGTTCCATTTCACCTTTTAAGATTTGACCTAATTTGTTTATGTATTGAATTGTCTACATATACACATATTACTATCTCTGTTATTCTTATCATCACCTGAATAAACCTTATTATCAATATTTTGTTATCATTATAATCGTCGATATTAACTATGTTCAAAAAATTTACCACATTATTATTATTTGATCCACAAAATCACTGTCATTGGTTAAAAATTTTCTTATATATAAGTCTATGTAAATTAGAGTAAAGCCAGAAGATCTAATCGAAAACAACAGCAATACTGTTCTAATAGAGGTTTTTGTATTTCCCAATGAATGAAAAACAAAACGAGATCAACCCGTAAAACGAGATTATTTTTTACTTTTTAATACTGTTCGCTTATATGTCTTGTTCTAAAAGTCGTTAATCGGGGTGACACCTAAATAAGTAAGCCGAACGACTTAATATAATTGGCAGGATTGAGTAGAACTCAAGAGTCAACTTGACGACAGTGCTAATAAGGAGTAGAAATTTAATAGAGGGTGAGGAGAGGAAATAATACAATTAAAAAAAAAAACTAAAGAGCAAAATTATATATCCAGTGTTAAAACAGATTGGGTCCATTGTAGATTTCGTGACTGAACAAGACATATAAGCGAACAATATTGCTGTTGTTTTCAATTAGATC